GTGTGTGTGTGTGTGTGTGTGTGTGTGTGTGTGTGTGTGTGTGTGTGTGTGTGTGTGTGTGTGTGTGTGTGCGCGCGCGCGCGTGCGTGTATGTGTGTGCGTGTGTGTGTGCGCGCGTGTGTGTGCATGTGCATGAATGTGTGCGTAGTGTGTTTGCTTGCGCGCGCGTGTTATGTGCGTGTGTATGTGTGTCTGTCTGTCTGTCTGTCTGTCCGTCTGTCTGCCTGTCCTTCTGGCCCCCTGTCTGGCTGTCTGTTTGCCTGTCTGTCGGTCGGTCTGTCTGTTGGTCGGTCTGTCTGTCGGTCAGTCTATCTGTTTGTCTATCTGCCTGTCTGGCCGTCTGTCTGTCTGTCTGTTTATCCCTCTGTCTGTCTGTCTGGCTGTCTGTCTGGCTACCTGTCTGTCTGTCTGTCTGTCCGCCTGTCTGTCTGCCTGTCCGCCTGTATGTCTGTCTGTCCGCCTGTCTGTCTGTCTGTCTGTCCGCCTGTCTGTCTGTCTGTCTATCCGTCTGTCTGTCTACCTGTCTGTCGGTAGGTCTATCTGTGGCCGCCCGTGTGTTTGATTCAAACCTCTAGTGAAAACGAGCGTGTGCAGGAACTGGGTGGAGGGGAGGAGCTTACTAAGGAGATAGCGAGAGCAATGGCGGAAGTGAGAGAACGATTAGGTTAGAGAAGGAAGGTGAGAGAGTGGGAGGAAAAGAAAAGAATGAAATAATATAAGAGACGGAGGGGGCAACAAAGAGAGAGAGAGAGAGAATAAAAATACTGATAAAACGTGATTGGTTTGTTAGGTATGGCAATGAGTCATTCAACTTGGATTCGGTGGTAATCGAAGCTAACGAGATGGAAGGCTTCTGGAGTGACACTCCACACTACGACGAAGACTGGGCAGAGGTGGGCGAAATCACCGTCCGATACGTGGACACTACAATCCGACAGAACGGGTACGGGGTCCGCGACTCTCACCGCGATATGACTAGCTCAAATAACATCTGGCACTGGGAACTTCTCTACACGAGCATCATAGGGAACGGCGCCGGCGGCTTTGATATCTGGCTGCCGTCGACGCAGAGAGAGAACCGTTATCACCTGTACCCGCATAGCGTCAACATCACCAACTGCACTATTGCGAGCAACTACGACTTCAAGTTTCGAATTGCTGGCCACTTTGGCAACATCACAATGTTTGGCAACACGTTCGCGGACAACATCTGCCACAAAGGCCTCATTCTACTCGATGGCTGCGAGAAGCAGCTTAACATAACACACAACGCCATCGAGCGAAACATTGGCGAGTACATGTTTGAGCTATACACCTACGGGCAGACTGAACTTGTGGGCAAGGTGAATGCTACCTTTGAGTACAACGTCATCAAAGATAATGAATACGAGGGGTACGTTTTCGAAGAGGAAATGTACGGTTCACCAAAAAGTTACGTATTTTCTCTAAGAGGCGCTCAGCGAGTCAACATCACCCATAATATCTTCCGATCCAATCGGCTTGACTACTTGGTGCTGGCAGGTGTTGAGTCGTCGGCACTAGATAATAGTTACGTGAATTTGACGTTCAACTGGTGGGACACGTCAATCCAGGAAGTCATTAGGCAGCGAATATTCGACTTCAACGACTGGAATGGGTATTCCATTGCAACATATTATCCTTTCCTCTTGCAACCGGACTGGGATGGTCCTGTTTCCACTGAGCCGATTATCGTCGATGAGTTCGACTTCAGTAAACCATTTGGCGGTAAAATCGACAAGGTTTTGCAACTGTACGAAAGGAGTACACCGTGGGTTATTGGGAGCGACTTAACTGTTATGCCTAACGGCACGTTGGTAATTGATGCTGGCGCAGAGCTACAGTTTCATCCGTCCGTCGGAATTCTCGTTATGGGCAATTTGTATGTTAACGGTAGAGAAGGCAAGCCCGTCCGCATGAACCCTGTTCGAAAGACCAGCGTGTCTAAACGTCAGGTGGAGCCGACCGTATCCGACGCTGTGCGTCTGGTTAGCGGCAACAATTCCTGGGACGGATTTCTCGAAGTGTGGAACGCAACGACGAAGGAGTGGGGCCCAATATGCGACACGCACTTCAGCGAACGAAACGGTGAAGTCGTCTGCCGTGAGCTCGGATTGGACACTGTCAGCGTGCACGTTTGGAACGGATGGCGGGTTGACATGACCGAATTCGAACTGGGAAAGATTCAGTCGCGCACAGAGCCGGTGCAGTGTCTCGGCACGGAGGAGTCGATATCCGAGTGCGACGTCCGACTGAACGGCAACAAACGCCACTGGGAATGTGACCACCTGGACCACTTCGTCTTCATCGAATGCGGCGAGAGAACGCTACCTCCCGAGTACGAATACTGGGGCAACATACGCTTCTCGGTGCAGAACTACGAGGAGAACCCCTTTGTGAATTTGGACGGCCGCGAGGTGCTCGACGACATGTCGACGATCGAGTGGTTGGAGATGCGCGGCGCCGGCATGCTTCACGACGAGAAGGCGCCTGCCATCTCGATGATCTACCGCTCGCCGAACATCAACCACACGACGATCGTCGAGAGCGCGTCGCACGGCATCGAGACGATGGCCCCGTCTCGCGGCATCGACATCAACGACACGCGTCTCGTCGACAACCTCGGCGTCGGCATCAACTTCCTCGTGCTGAACGGCGAGGCGGGCGAGGCGGTGTCGCTCTCCTACCAGCCGCTCGAGAACCTGACGCTGTCGCGCAACATGTTTGGCGTGCTGGAGATGTGCTCGGCCGACAAGGAGGTGTTCGTCACGCGGCGCCTTCTCCTCTACTACAAGTACGACAACACGCCCGTCGACTGCGTCAAGATCTTTAAGAGCATCTACCAGGTGAATCAGATCGGATTCAGGCTGCTCTACTTGAATCTGCTTCCCGGACCGGTGAACCACACGGCTGTCTGGCCCGACAGTATTGAGCTGTACGACGGCTTCGCGCTGAACGACACGACGTACATGACCGAGATCGTAGCGAATGACACGGAGAGGAACACTTTCTTCCGCTCGTCGACTCGAGATTTATCCATTCACCTCCATGCCTCTGCTGCCGAGGGTAGATACGGATTCATCGCAGAGATCGTTACCTATCCGACGTCTGTCAGCTACGGTGAGCATGTTTGTTACACATCTCCATCGCATGATTTCTAAAGGGATGAATCTCTGTAACGTTCGTATATCTCGCTGTATGATGCAGAGTACACATATAATTTCACGCAGTTCTTTACGTAAATAGGTATATCCACCATTTACGTAACGTGGTATATCCACCAATGACATAACGCGGTATATTCACCCTTCACGTACCTATTATATATGAGGTATATCGCCACATGATCCTTAATTATTGCAATCTTTCAAGCGTGACGGTGTCTTTCCATAGTGCGAAACATTACAATGTTGCAGATCGGAATTTGGAGCACCATATCAGCCACAATCACATAGAGAACAACGTGGATGGAGGGATACATTACTCTAGTGTCGGCGAAACGGTTCCAAGTGTGTATATCGAGCACAACTATCTCGCTTACAATGGGAGACTTGTACACAATTTTACCACGTCCGATGCCGCTGTCTGTAAGTGTTTTGCTGTAATGCCACTCATCAGTGTAGTGTGCAAGTGTGGAAGTCGGCAAAGTTTCTAATGTTATCATTTATTTTGCGACTGACGTGTGCCTCGATATAGAATACTGGTAGTTTGGAATCATTATTTCAGACATTTATTTATTGCATTTGCAGTTATCTGTTTGCATTAAAATGAAATATTACATTAATATTATGTTATGTAGGCCCCCTATGTTATGTATTATGTTATTATATTATTAATATTATGTTATTAGACAGTAGGCCTACGTCTTTTATAGCGGCTTTTACGTCTGTTAATTTCCTACCTAAATGCCTGCACAAAATCGCCAATGTTGTTGTTTTCTCCAATACAGTGGTGGATATGCAAAACACACAGACGCTGTGGTTCCGCAATAACATGGTGTATAACAACACTGGAGGGCTTCACGTCATAGCCGGTGCATTATCCAGTAGCAATTCCCTTCAGGCCTACCTCAAGAACAATGTGTTTGGACACAATCACAGGTAGGGGAAAGTGCGATCGCAACGTGACACTGCATCAGTGAATGCGTGATATGATATTACATAGCACTGAACGAGGTATATTGAACACTAATTCAGCGATTACAAAACTTGGATGGAATAGATCCGACGTTGGGTAGAGAACAGTTCGGGTTTGTTTGGTATTCTGTCTGGTCGAGTTAGTTCTGGTACATTTACACACGCGCACACACATTTATTTATTTGTTATAAGACATTATTACATGCATTATAAAGCACGATTAGAATTTGATAGACACCTGTTTGCTGGCACATTGACTAAATATTTGATGCTAATGCAGGCATGAAGCTATGAAGCTCTTGGGAACGTATTCGGAAGTTGAAGAGAAGATCGAAATCAGCTTCAGTTACTTTGGTCACAACGACGCCGGAGATGAACATGACGTCATGCTTATCGCTCAGATCGTATCGAACTTCACCCGTAATGTCGGTAAGTGGTACGCGCAACATCGCGTTTATCCTTGTGTACATCGGTGTGATAATGACATAGACGCGTCGACATGGCTCAGACCGACGGATGTGTGCGCGTGTTGTCGTGCGTGCACGTGCATTGTGGTCAGCCAACTCACGCACACGTACGCACGCACGCACGCACGCACACACACACACACACACACACACACACACACACAACAATACACACACACACACACACACACACACACACAC